CCAGCTGGATGGGGTCTGATGTGGCTTTGTCCCTGCTCTTCCTCCCCTCAGGCTTCGACTGCCGCTGCGGGAACCTGTTCTGTGCCATTCACCGGTACTCTGACATGCACGCCTGCCCCTACGACTACAAGGCAGAAGCTGCCGAGAAGATCCGCAAGGAAAACCCCATCGTTATCGCCGAGAAAATCCAGAAGTTGTGAAGGGGTCCGAGCAGCTCGAACTGCAGCCAGGCTGCCTGGTGCTCCTCCCCTTCCTCCCAGCCTTCCTCCTCCTGCTCCCAGCCCCCGCGGCGGTGCGAGGGTGGCTCCGGCAGCGCACACAAACCGGCACCTGGGCACGGGGCCTCCTCGCGCCTCTGGCACTCACTTGGTGTTCCTCCTCTCCCTCCCTGCCTGCCCGACAGCCACAGCTCAGCTGATGTGTTCTCAACCAGCTTCCCAAAGGAAAAGGGACCGTCCTGCCCCGCTGCTCTGGCTCCGAGAGCTTTGCACTCGCCTCTTGCTGGGCATGGTGGGAGGTGCCGGGCTCAGCCTTTCCCTTCCCTGCGGCTCCGAGTCCTGCAAAGCACCCAGGGCTTGTGGCCGCAGTCCCTGAGCAGCCTGGGCTCTGTCCCTCTGCCTGCAGCCCCGGGAGCTGGGGGATCCTGGCAGCCAGGCTGCCGTCTGCTCCCCGGGAGGTGTTTGCTCTCCCGTGCAGAAAAGTTGATTCTGTAGTTCCAGCACCCCACACCCCTCTCCCCACCCTCTGTTGATGCTGTTGGAGAAGCAGCAAGGGGGCTGAGCAGTGATGCTGGCACAGGGAAGAGATTTTGTGGCTTGGAAGTGAGGTGGGCAGGGCAGGACCTTCCAGAAGGTTCTGCTGGCTGCCTTGTGCCTCTCCCCTCAGGGAGGGAGCCAGGGACACCCCTGCTCCAGCCTCCTGCTCCAGCACCCCTGGATAACCCTGGCTGCTTTCCCAGCAAGGTGTGTGTCCCTCAGTGCTGCCTGTGCCTGCTCTCCTCTCCCCTCTCCCTTCTCTCCTCTCTCCTCTCTCCTCTCTCCCTGCCTTCTGCCTTACACGAGTCGCTCTCATCAGGGTTGTGCACAAAGCTCAGGTCCCCACACCTCTGCTTCTGGACCTGTCCCTGCATCCAGGTGACAGTGGGGTCCCCTCCTCCCATGTGGGCCATGCTGGCATCGGGGAGAGCTCGGGGAGCCCACCCAGTGCCCTCCTCTGCCTCCTCCCTCCCTGTGGGCTGAGAGGCAGGGCCAGGTCCCCAGGAGATGCTCTGCAAGCCAGACAGAGGGAACTGGGGCACGGGGAGAGTCACAAGGAGGGTGCCAGGATGCCCAGAAATCCAGGTGGGGGCTCAGAAACGCCCATGGAGAGACCCAGGGAGCAGGGAGAGGTGCTTGGAGGGCTCTGGGCTCACNCAGAAACGCCCATGGAGAGACCCAGGGAGCAGGGAGAGGTGCTTGGAGGGCTCTGGGCTCACTGACAGAATTCCCTGAGGTGCTGGCAGGCCAGGCAGGGCCCCAGGAGATGCTCTGCAAGCCAGACAGAGGGAACTGGGGCACGGGGAGAGTCACAAGGAGGGTGCCAGGGTGCCCAGAAATCCAGGTGGGGGCTCAGAAACGCCCATGGAGAGACCCAGGGAGCAGGGAGAGGTGCTTGGAGGGCTCTGGGCTCACTGACAGAATTCCCTGAGGTGCTGGCAGGCCAGGGAGGGCTCTGGGGTGCAAGGGAAGGCAGAAGGAGAACGTTGGGGTACAGTGAACATCCTCAGAGGCCTCGAGAACCCCAAAAGCCACTTGGAAGGCTCTGGGGGTGCACACACTCACTCACACAGGAAGGGAGGTGTAGGAAAAACCAAATGCCGCTCAGTTACCACTGCAGAAAGGGCACCTGGAGGGCTCTGTTGGGAGGACCCGGGGCTCAGGGATGCAGCACAAGGCAGGCAGAGGCTCCTGGGGCACAGCCACAGCCTCTCCCATGCCCGGGGGATTCCTGGGAACACCAGGAACAGGGCTGTGGCCATGGGGCTCTGGCTCTCTTGCAGAGAAACCCGGGTGTGTCCCGGGGGACGAGCAGCAGCCTCTGTCCCACTCTGCTGGCCATCCCACGCTTTGGAAGCTTTCCCTCGGTGTCAGCAGAGCTGCAGGGCCCAGCTGGGGGAGATCTCAGCAGCTCCTTCCTCCCAAGGGCTGTTTTCCTGCCCTGCCTGTGGCAGTTCTGCCCAGGTGCTGCTGGGGGGATCCCTCTGAGTGTTTGGTGTCTGCAGCCTGCTCCAGCCAAAGCAGTGTGTGCTCTGTGCCAGCTGCCAGCAGCATCTGAACCTCCCAAACTGCTGCAAACCCCCCCTCCAGCACTGAGAGGAGTGAGGCTGCCTCTCACCAGCCTTTTCCTCAGGATTTTCCTTCTGGATAACGTTGACATCATGTCTGGGGCAGGCAAGTGGCTGCAGCCCTGCACACACCTGGGAGCTGGAGCTGGTGCGTGGCCAGGCTGGGTTTGCCACTGAGCTTTTGGCTGAGGATGATCCCTCAGCCTCGGGGGATGCAGGAATTGCAGCCACCAGCCCCAGGGACGTGCAGCAGCTCCCGTGGATCCCTTGGGAAAGCCCACAGCCACCTGCTTCTCCAGCACCGCCCCTTTCCCTGTTCCCCCTCCCTGTCCATGAGTGTAAATACAACACAGTCTAGTTTGCTTGGATGCTGTGGGTGCTCTGTTTCAGGCAGGGATGTCTGTGGGGCTTGGCTTGGCTCTTTTGGGGTGGCTCTGGGGCTCTGTGCCTCAGTTTCCCTGTGGATGATCACTGACAGTACCTGGAGCTGGCTGGGGATCAGACCTGCACCCCCAGATCTCAAACCCACCAGGGGCTGGGCTGGATGATCCCCAGAGGTCACTGCAACCCTGACAAGTCTGGATGAGCAGGAAGCCCTGGCTGGGTTTGAGGGGCTCTGAGGTTCTCCTCTTGTCTGCTGTCACCCCCTTGGGGCAGGAAAGGGAGTTTGGGACAGCAAAGCCTCCCCTTCCCATATCCATGTGGGCATTTGGGCTGTGTGTGGCACCAGGGGTGACTTCAGCAAGGCTTGGCTTGGTGACATCTCTGTGGGGGGACACGGGAATGTGGGAGGATGGATGGACAGGAGGGAGGGCCTGCATGAAAGCAGAGCTCCGAGGGCCTGGTGGGCACAGCAGAGCCCCCCTGTCCCCATTGCTGTCCCGAGGCATCAGAACCTCCTCCAGCCCCTCTGCCCGTGGGACAGATCAGATCCTGATCGGGTTTCACGGTGATTCAGAGCAGGGGAGTGACCGATCCACCTGCAGGCCCTGCTGCCATCCAGAGGGACCCTGAGGGGCTGCGTGGGGGCAAACCTGGGGGGGTTCAACAAGGGCAAGTGTAGAGTCCTTGTAGACCCCCCAGGGGCCAGCACGGGCTGGGGTGACCCATGGAGAGCAGCTCTGCAGAGGGACCTGGGGGTGCTGGGGGATGGCAAACTGTCCCTGAGCCAGCAGAGTGTCCTGGGGCCAGGGGGACACTGGGACCCTGCCCCTCTGCTTGGGAGGCACATCTGGGCTGCTGTGTCCAGTGCTGGGACAAGAAGGACAAGGAGCTACTGGGGAGGGTCCAGAGAAGATTTGGGGTCTGGAGCTTCTCTCTGATGAGGAGAGGCCACGGGAGCTGGGCTTGGTTAATCCAGAAAAGACTGAGAGTGTTGGATGTTTGTTTTTTTAAAAAAAGATTATAAAATAACACAGTTTAAAGTCACAAAAACTCCGAAGTTACATTTGGGAGAATAACAATATGGAGAACAGGCAGGTTTACATCGATACAAAGCAAGCCCAGCTCCAGAGCAGTGACAAGCAGCCCGTTCATGGAGTCCAGCTGCCTTTGGGATGTCAGTGCTGGTCAGAATGTCCAAGAGCCGCTGAACTCCTCCACTCGCTGCCTGCGGGTTCTCGGCGCTTTCTTCAGGATCCCCTCATTGGCTGCTTCTCCTGCATCTTCTCCAAGGCCAGCTGAGCCAGGGTGCGCTTGTCCAGCCGTGCTTCTCCTTCTTGTCC